AGATGAGAATATGCAAGACAGAGCCTCCTGGTTTATGCTTTGAAAGTAAGACTACAAACAAGCAAACAAAGAGAACTTAGGCAGTCACTTAGGATCTTACTCAGCTGTCTTTGGCAACCTCTCAGGGCCAGGCATGTTGCTCCTGAGTTGCTGTTGATAAATCATGTGAGAATATTAAATGTTGAGGGTTGGTGCCCAAAGCAGATGCCAGCAAGAGGGAGAAAAAGGGATGTTTCTGGAAGTGTCATAGACAGGTTATCTTCAGACCTCCCCTGACAGTGCCCTTGCACACCGTTGGTTCTAGTCCCAGCCCCAGGCACCCTCAGTTCCATGCTTGCCGGTTGTACTGAGGACTATCAAATATTTACACTGACTTTTTCAAATGTATACATTATTTACTTTGGATTCCATAAAATATTTACATGTTTTGCTAAATGTACATCATATTTCTTCTGTGCTGTGTAATTTCTGCTTCAAGCCAGGAATACTATTACAGAACATGCCCCAAATTGTGAAGAATTGTAAGGCAGAGTCAAGGGTGGGCACAACAGGAGACAGAGAGATAGCTTCCCATAGTCCAGGGAAGTTGCCCACCCCACCCTACCCCACAGCCCCAGAGAAGCAGTGCAGCAAACACAGGTCCAGGAGAAAGCAGTTGTGTTGTGTTGCCTTCAGTGCTGATCATTCAGTTCCTCAGCATGAATGGACACTGGGCCCCAGGTCACTCTGAGTTCAACACTGGCAAAAGCTCTGACTCAACACTGAAGTCAACCATGCCCATCCCATGAACGCACCTAATAGAGTCTATTCATAATCCCCAAAAAGCATTAGAAAATGCTTGCAGCTCTGCCTGGGCACCTAGACTTACCACTGGTTGCTCAGATTTAGAAGGGCCACCACGCCCACCACCTATCCCATGGTAAGGTCTAGTCTTACTGGCTATGAATCCAATTCCTCAGAATCTGTCCTTTTGTATTGTCATAACACTGAGATTGTGGCCCTATGCATAGTGCCATACAACCTGGTCTTTCATCTTCTCTGCTTCCTAGCCATTGAAGAGTCAAAGGGACCTCCCCCCTCCAAACCTTTGCTCATTTTCCTTTTCCTTTTACTGATGTCTCCAGTAGAATACTGAAGGTTGACTTTCAGCTTGATCTCCACTCTTTCCCAACAGGCTCATGCCTTTGCTTTGACAGCAAGCTCTGCTCTTACTGTGGGGCAACTGGGTTCCCCAGGATCAGAAATATGGTCTTAATGCAACTTCTTTGCAGATAGAGTAATGGTACCTAGGTGTGAACACTGCTAGCAGGGGGCAAATACACACAGCTTCAGAATCCATAAGTCTCTGTTAAGCTCCTGCCACAGATGTCTGAAGAAGAATCTTGAGGATGACATGTAATATTGACTGAATCATAGCATTATGTTATTCCTTGCAAATGCTAATGGAAACCTCATTGCGGTGAAAACCAGTGTCTCTATGATCTGGAGAGCAATGGCTTCAGACAGCTTTTCCTATAAAGATTTGTGTCATTAGTTTTGACAAAAGCAAGCTCGGCAAGCTTCTGTGCCCCCTCTTGACTGTATGCCCTTATAAAAAGAGACTCTTCTCAGCGTTGGGACCCTTTTGGCCCTTCTGACTTTCCTCACTTGCAGACACAGTGTCTGTCTTTCTATTTAGAGGTATAGAACATTCAAGGTAACATTTGGAAGAAGAGACGGGAGCCTCATCAGGCACCATGTTAGTTTGCGTGTAATTGGCCCCCAAAAGCTCAGAAGGAGTGGCAACTATTATGTGTGGCCTTGTTGAAGTAGGAGTGGCCTTGTTGAAGGAAGCGTGTCACTGTGGGGGCAGACTTCAAGGTCTCTTTTGCTTAAGCTTCGCTCAGTGTCACAGTCAACTTCCTCTGCCTTCTGACCAAGATGTACCCAGCACCCTGTCTGCCTTCATGCTGCCGTGCTCCCTGTCACCCACCATGATAATAGAACCACGGAACTATAAGCTGCCACATCAGTTAAATATTTTCTTTATAAGAGTTGCCTTAGCCATGGTATCTCTTCACAGCAATAGAAACCCTAATGGAAACAGAAGTTAGTGAGGGGCCTGGGGTATTGCTGTAATGGGTTGGATCGTGTTTTTGTTTGGAGGAATTTGGACTTAGGTACTTTGGGTTAGAAAAGGAGTGAAAAGCTTTAAACCCTGCTTAACGGGCTATCCTAGTAGGAACATGGAAAACAGTGATGCTAAGAGTTATTTGAACTGGAAGGGTGGGGAGCAGGGCTCACTGAAGAGGTTCCAGAGGAGGAGAATTAGTATGCTGCCTAGAGATATTTTTTTGTGATATTTTGGTGAAGAAAATGCTGTCTTTTGCCTTTGTCTGAAGAGTTTGCCTGAGGCTAACATAGAGTTTATGATTAATTCTATTGGCGAGGAAAATCTCAAAATAGCCTAGTATGACTTGGTCATTTGGATACATGTGGTAACTCTAATGAAGTTTTATAATGCAAAGGAGCAAGTTGAGCAGGTTAAATTGCAAAGTGTAAATTTTGAGAAAAAGTATAACAGGAAGTGACTGGAGCTAAGTCCTATGTTCAAGGAGATAAACTGATAAAGAAATGGAATCAAGGGAGTGGTGACCTCAAGGCAAAATCCCACCCAGCTAAGTTTCCAATTTAAGAAAGGGAACTGAAGAAAAGCTTAGAGCTGGGCATGGTGGTGCATGCCTTTAATCCCAACACTTGGAAGGCAGGCAGAGGCTGGCAGATCTCTGAGTTTTAAGCCAGCCTATTCTACAAAGAATGGTTTCAAGACAGCCAAGCTTAGGCAGTGAAAGGCAGAAAGTTGGTGAAGATGTCATTGAAGGGGGATGGGCGTGGGGCATGTGTTCCAGCCCCAGCAAGAAGCAGAACTTGGCAGATTCAGCCACGAGGTTCTGGCTTTAGAGTTAAGGATAGAAGAAATGTCATGTGGGATATTTTATTGAACTGTGACACTTGGAGACTGTTATTGAAGTTAACCTTGAATCAGTGGATGGAGTCAAAGACTAGCTGACCAGAATTAGACTCAGAGATTTTGGAGGACCCAGGATACAACAGAGAGAACAGGAAAAACAGGGAGAGACTTAGAAAGATGTGTGGGCTTTTTCTATCTAGGAAATGTGAAGAAAGATCTATCAGGTTTTTACCCCAATATCTGACTGCCAAGTTTTGTTTTGCTTTGATAATATAACAATTTAGGTAAACACTTCAGAAATGAGTTATGGAATTTGCCTCTACACCTAGGAAAGCTGCTGAGGTCAGGCATGCATTGGGGATGTTTCTGAACTGAGACCCAGCAAGACCATTCCATGAAGCTGTGAAGTTGAAGCCTGGATTACCTTGGAGACCCAAGATGTTAGAGATGTCAGAGTCCTGGGACACCTGCTGAGGAAAGATGCTAGCAGGGAGTGGAACCAGCCCAAGACAAAGAAGTGTGTTGTAGCCAACAGAGCTGAAGGGAGTTGGAGATCTGAAAGAATTTTGACATCGGACACGGAGATGCAGAATTTGGAGTTTGCCCAACTGGTCTTCCATCTTGCTTTGGTTAAATATTTCCTCACTATGCTCCCTGCCCTGTGTTTTGGAATGGTAATGTATATCTTGTGCCATTGTATGTTGGAAGTGTGTGATCTGTTTTCTGTTTTTTTAAGTTTTTTGGTTTGATTTCATAGAGAATTACAGTTAAGAGATTGCATGACTTTCAGAAAAGACATTGAGCTTTGGACTTTCAAACATTTTAAACATTGAGACAGTGATAGACTGTGGGGACTTTTGAAATTGAACTAAATTCATTTTGCATTATGATATGTTACAAGCTTGATGAGGGCCAGAAATGGAATGTGGTAGCTTGAAAGTAATTAGTCCCATAAGATCATAAGGAGTGGCAACTATTTTGTGTGACCTTGTTGCAGTAGATGTGACCTTGTTGAAGGAAATGTGTCACTGTGGGGCAGGCTTTGAGGTCTCTTTTGCTTAAGTTTTGCTCAGTGTCACTTCCTGTTGCCTTGTGATCAAGATGTAGCCAGCACCATGTCTGCCAGCCCGCCATCATGGTCCCCACCACTCACCATGCTCCCAGCCATGATGATAATGGACTGAATTATAACATAAATAATAAAAATTCGGAGATGGATATTGGGGTTAAACCTGAAGACCAGAGAAGCAAAGCAACCAAGCCACCAGAGAGCTCTTAGTTCTACCACAGCTGGGAGGATCCTGTCATCAATGTGGCTGGAGACTAATTGCCCTGAGACTGAATACCGAATGCTGCTTGAGATCCTAGGCTCCTTTTTATATACCTCTCTAGTACTGGGATTAAAGTCTTGAGCTCTGTTTCTCTTTTAGACTGATTCACACTCATATAGCCCTGAGTGGCCTTGAATTCACAGAGATCCACCTGCCTCTGTCTTTTGAGTCCTGGGATTAAATGTGTGTACCACCACTACCCAGCTTCTATGGCTGTGGCTAGCTTTGCATTCTGATCCCCTGACAAGCTTTATTAGATCATAAATAATATATCACCACACTGAATCTCTGAACTGCAAGTGGTCTCCTTAATTAAATGTTTTCCTTTGTAAGAGTTGCTGTGGTCATGGTGTCCCTTCACAGGAATAGGAACCCTAACTAAGACAGACACATTGAAGACACTTTAATTTGGAGTTTGATACTTCTCCATGGTGAGAAATACTTTTATGCTTCTTATTAGTGTAAGGTATTTCATTATAGTGTGAACCCCATGAACTAAGAGTCTAGCTGTCATTTCTGTCATAAGTTGAAAGTTACTTTGTAGGAAAAAAACACTCTGTATTAGTCTTGCAAAAATGAGATTCTACTTGTCAACAATGGCTAAATTAATGTCAACACTATTAAGACTGCTGAAACAAAATACTGTAAGCTGGGTAGCTTATAAACCACAGAAATTCACTGCACACAGCTCTAAAGGAATCCAAGATGAAAGGACTTACAGAACAAGCATCTGGTCATGGCCTGCAGCTTCTGGTCCAGATGGTGGGAAGGATCTGGAGATGGCCTGCAGCTTCTGGTCCAGATGGTGAGAAGGATCTGGTGATGGCCTGCAGCTTCTGGTCCAGATGGTGAGAAGGATCTGGTGATGGCCTGCAGCTTCTGGTCCAGACAGTGAGAAGGATCTGGAGATGGCCTGGAGCTTCTGGTCCAGACGGTGGGAAGGATGGACTCTTTACTCTAGGGCCTCCTGTTCAAGAGGGCTCCACCTTCACACCCTACCCACTTCCTGTGTGTTAGTTGACCTTTCATCGCTGTGGCAAAATATCTGGACTAAACTTAAAGGGAGAAGCATTTGTTTTGTCTGATCTCTTTGGAGGTTACTGTCATTGGCTCCATGCTTTGGGGCCCGAGTGTGTTGAGGTGGAGCATGACAGGGAGCATGTGTCAGAGAGAGAGAACAGGGAGCATGTCAGGAGACAAGACGCTAAGATGCAGCCTTTAAGAGTGTGACCACAGTGACTTCCTCTAATGAGGGCCCACCTCCTATAGGGCATTAAGCTATGAATTCATGGGTGGAAACACACGTGGATGGAGTCAGTGCCCTTGTGAGTCAATCACCTCTCATTAGCGCCACCGGCTGAAGACCAAGTTTTCAATACGTGAGCCTTGTGGAGAGACTCTAAAAGTGCCTGCATTCAAATTTAGCATTAGATATGATAGGAGGATTTGTTCCACATCTAAAAACAAAAGTACAGAATTGGCCAGCATGAGAGTCCTGTTCCTCCAGCCCTCAACCCATCCTCACCTCAACTGTTCACTTGGGGCAGCATTGTTATGCAATACTTGCATGACCCAGGTCAGTCAGGGTGCTGTGTGGGAGAGGGCCAAGGTAACTGTCATCCCTCCTTAGTAGAGCCTTGGCCCGTTGTGGTGATGAATCCTGCCTTTCATGTTGCCCACTCCCATCAGTGCCTGAGACTCAGCCTGGTCCTGGTTCACCTTGCCAGGTATGTCACTGGGGTGTGAGTACTCCTGAGGGCACAGGCTTTGTATGGAACACCCAGGAAGGGAAGGTGAAAACAGGTATGTGTGTGTAATGTGTGTGTGTGTGTGTGTGAGAGAGAGAGAGAGAGAGAGAGAGAGAGAGAGAGAGAGAGAGAGAGAGAGAGAGAGAGAGAGAGACTGAATCCTAGGGATGGACAAACAGTGGGAAGACATACGTGGAGACTTATGACCACAGTGTCCTCAAGGGAGGAGGTGCCAGTGTGAAAGAGTGTCTCTGTCAAGGTATCAGGTGGAGTCGGTAGTTGTTTGGGCCCGCCCCAGCTGCGCTTCGCCTGCCTGACTGCTGGGCACACTCCAAATCCTGGGGCTTTGCTGAAGAAGGTCATCAGACAGTTCCCAGACTGGCTTCAGCTGGGAGGCAGGAACAGAGTCATCCCCACACCACACAAGTCAACTTGACACAAGCCAGATTTAGCGGGGGTGGGGAGGTGGGGGGCAGGCTCTAGAAAATGCCTCCATGATATTGACCTGTAGCACATTTTCTTAATTAGTGATTGATGTGAGAGCGCATATCCCAACTCGGGTGGTGCCATCCCCAGGCAGGCGATCCCCGGGTATATAATAAAGCAGGCTGAAAAAGCCAGTAAGCAGTGGACTACCATGCTTCTGTTCCTGCCTCCAGATTCTGGCCTTGACTTCCCTCAGTGATGGTGAACCTGAGAGCTGTAAGATAAAATAACCCCTCTCCTCCTTGCTCCCCCCCCTTATGCTTTTAGATGGAGCCCGGGACTGAAAAGAGGAAAGAATAAAGATATACAACAATTTAACTCTAGACATAAAGGTCAAAATCAGAAAGCATAGAACTTCGGAGACCAGCCCAGATGTGGATGCACCATTCCCATCCCTAGGGGCAGTGTGCTAAGCCATCACAGGGGAGAAGGATACTTTGGTGGCCAGTGGAGAGGGCGTGGGGGGAGTCAACTCAACTGTTCTTGGAGAGTTCACCTTTTTACTGTTTAAATTATTTATTTCCTCTGTGAATTTAAATGGAGAAAAGTGTGTGAGACATAATGCGTTTATCTAAAAAAATAATTATACTGTAGCTCCCAAGGTGAAGTGAGAGACTATGGCCAGCTTCTGCTGCTGGGGCTGCCTGTGCCATCTACGTCACCAGAGGACTCTGCTCTAGCCCGTCATAGCTCTCCCCACTAGGGGACACTCTGCTCCACTTACCACCCAGTTCCCCCACCATGGGACACCTTGCCGCACCTGCCTCACAGCCCCCCAGCACCAAGGAATGCTCTTCCCCACTGACTTGACCTGTCAGCACTCCATCCATTCCTCAGGTGCCGGCACCCTTTCGCCCTCACAGCTGTGTCACTTTAGTTGCCTCTCCGAAGCTGAAGCTGCCTCCGTCCAGTTAGAATGTATTTGAGAAGACGATTGTCAGAGTCAGGATGACTATCTGAAATTAGAGTAGATAAATTTACCTCACCACAGTTTTGTTTGTTGTTTGTTTGACTTCATGAGTCGTAAGTTGAAGAAATAGGTTGTATTTCAAAGTTCACAGAGATTTAAGGCAGGAATATCATGCATACTGATATATGCATGTGGCATGTACACAGGGAGAATTGGGAAGGGGACCACAATGGTGACTGCTGAGACGCCCAGTTTTAAGTCATTATCCAGTCAAGAGCTAGGGCAGAGTTTTGTCCCATAACCTAGCGTTCCCTGAACCAAATGCAGCTCCTCCATTGAACTCAATTCCCAGGAGGGGCTCAGGACCCGAAATGCTATACCAGCATCTTGTGTGACCTGCAGCCAGTAAAGATGGTTGGGTAACACTGGGTCCAGTCTAAGATGCTCAAAGCAGACCCAGCACTGGTCCATTCTAAGACAGGAGCCAGTCCTTGATCCTTGATTCTGACCCAGTCAGAACCAGTCACTGATCACTGGTTAAGGTCCTCTCCTATGTGCCAGGGGAGGGGAGGGCACCTGCAGAGCCTGGCCAGGGGGACCAGATGAAGAAGCCATAGTAGCCCAAGGCTGAGAAGATCAAGAGCCAAGTGAGGGTGCTGTGGGCCTTCACAAATGTGAGCTCAGAGCTCAGAGAGTGTGCTGGGCTGCCTCTTACACATCGGCTTTGTGGGATTCCGCAGGGGTTTCAGAGGACGCTATTCCTGGCTTCTGCTCCTCCTGTGTCTCCCTTCCCTTTGTCCCTGCTATAGCCAAGGACAAAGGGCTTAGAGACAAGCTTTTTTTTTTCTTTCAGAGCAGGACCAGGTAGCAGACTCAATTAATCTATCAACAGATCTTAATTAAATTCCTACTATGTTCAGTATAAGATGCTTGGATGGAAGACTAAGAGAGCACCATCATTTTCTGAAAGGGCCCACTGTCTACCTGGGCACAAAATAACACATAGCACACTACCATCAGCTCTTGACCTTGTGCCTCCTTCCCCTGAATGTGATTTAAGATCGAGATAAGTGCAGGTCAGGGCATCTGGGGCAGACTTCAAGGGCACCAGGTAGGATTGTAATAAGGCAGCTGGAGGCTAGGCCTGCTTAATTTGGTACTGAGAGCAGACAGTGAGACAGGGTCTCCCGAGGTTTGGGAGGATCTTCAAAGGGCAGAAAAGGACACCAAAACTTGAAAGAATTGGGAAATCTGTATGTGAGCAAGGGGCTTCAGTGTGTTTGGTACCAGGCCCGCAACAGGGACCACACGACGAACCATCGGCTCTGTGCTCATCGGGCCTCATTGCACCTTTATGGGGTACATAGGTTTACAAGGACTGCACTTAGACTTTCATGAATTGACACTGGGTCTGTGGAAAGGCTGAAGTGGGTATTTAAAGGTGTGTGTGTGTGTACATTGCATGCCTCTGTGTGCATACACCATAGCATGTATGTGGAGAGGTCAGAGGACAAACTTGGGTGTGGGTTCTCACCTTCCACCTTGTTTGGTGCACGACCTCTGGTTGTTTACTGATGTGTACACCAGACTAGCTGGCCCCTGGGGCTTCTGGGGAATTCTGTCCCTAGCTTCCATTTCCGTGCAGGCACACTGAAATTACAGACCCGAGCTGTGAGTCCACTTTTGATGGGCTCAGGGTCTCACTCAGGTCCTTACACTTACATGACAAGTGTTTTGTCCGATAGGCCGTCTTCCAAGCTCCTATGATGACTTTTAATTTCTAGACTGGGCCCTAGGTTCTGGCCTCCCTCTTCTCTCCCTCCTGATGATTTGTTCTTGCTGTTGCTCAGACTAGTCTCTAACTCCTGGGTTCCAACTATCCTTCTGCCTTAGTCTCCTCAGCAGCTGTGACCACAGGCTACACACCCAGCTACTCTGTTCCTCTAGAAGGGGAGAAAAAGAGGGATGGATGGGGTCAGAGAATGGAAGAAAGGAGACAGGAAGAGACAGAAGTAGGGGAAAGAGAAAACTGGATGGAAAAGGGAGACTGTGTCTTCTTGGTGCTGAGAATCAAACCCAGGGTTTCATGTGTGCTGGGTAAATGCTCTCCCACCAAGCTGAATCCTAGCCTGAGAACTTATTTATATGATGCCAGAGTCCTTGTTTCTGTGTAGATCTCAGTTCGGAGCATGTCCCTATTCTCCTGGGATGGAGGAAAGCCATGTCTCATGGAGAGCTGGGAAATAGGCAGGGATTTCTGGAGAATGGTTTCCACGGAGTGATTAAGACAAAGAGAGTCAGGAGTTTCCCTTGAAATATAAGAAGAATAAGACAGAATCAAGGAATACTCCCTGGTGTTTGCTCCTTCTGAGTCAGAGGGGAATATGCTATGAGTTCATCAGGAGTGGAGAATGTCCCCACAGCTGAGAGGGGAGTTATTTGTGCAAGTGAAACCCTGAAAGAAAGGATGGGATGGAATAGCAAGGATGAGCAAAAGAGGATGAGAGACTGACGCCCACAATTATTAACCCCAGGAACAACGCTCATTTATTTCACTCTTACTATCTGATGGTCGCACAATTTAGCTCTGTGTTTATTATTTCACTTAATCCTCAACACTTTCTTTGAAATAGATGTTATTGTCCTGTCTTCAGTTGAAGAATCTGAATCTCAGGGCAGTTAGGTGCCTTGTCCTAAGTCACACAGCTACAAATGATGTCACCTAGATTCAAGTGTCTGCCTGCCTACAGAGTGCCCAGTAGATGATAGACTGTGGACTAGGTGGGCCAAAAAAAAAAAAAACCCAAAAAAAAAAAAAAAGGAACTGCGTTTCAGGAGCAATCAAAGATGTAGGAGGCTGCATTTCTTAAAGAGGGAAGTGTGTTGAGGTCAAGAAGGGAGCAGACAGAAGTTTGAGGGTGGATAGACTGGGGCTCCTCACCTGGGCAGTCAGATGTCTTCTGTGGCTATGGGCAGTGTCCACTGACTTCACACATTCATGGATTCTGGGCCCAGGGGCTTTGGTAGTGTATGCATCTTGCCCTACCTGCTGTGTATTCTCTTCTGAAGGTTTCTACTGTTGGGTCAGTGAATGGAGAGGACCCCGAAAGGTCTGGGACATCTGGGGTGGTAGAGGAGTCAGCACAGCAGGTGCTGAAGAGTTCGATGTATACAACAAAGTGGGTGGGAGCTTCAAATGGGGTGGGCTGGTGTTCCTCTCCTCTGGTGAAGCCCATTCTCGTTTCCCGATGCTTCTGCCACTTTATTGTGTTGATGACCCTGGTTTAGCACTGTGAGCTGTCTGAACCAACCCAGAACTAGCCTATGTGTGGTTAAAAGTCAATACACTTACCACAGTTGAATGCAGCATGGTTATTCTGCTCTGTGTGAGTTTAAGCTGCCTCTGAGATAGTCTCCTGAGGTCTCTACATTCCGGTGCTTACACTCTTCACAGGCCCTTCTTCGTGAGCCAGTCACTTGCTTCTAACCCATAGGCTCAGCAACACCAAGGGGCCATCCCTCTAATGATGAAATTACAAAGACTAATATGTTCCTCTTTACAGTTGAGTCTCTCCTGCTGACTGTCAGGAAGCCAGTGGCCTTGATGGAGAGGCTCACACAGCACAGGACTGAGGAAGGTCG